ATCCTGGGCAACCTGGATCACCTGGAAAACCAGGACAGCCGGGATATCCTGGTCAACCTGGAACACCCGGAATACCTGGAATTCCGCCACAACCTGGATATCCTGGGCAACCTGGATCACCTGGAAAACCAGGAGAGCCGGGATATCCTGGCCAACCTGGAACACCTGGAATACCTGGAACTCCGCCAAAACCTGGATATCCTGGGCAACCTGGATATCCTGGGCAACCTGGATATCCTGGGCAACCTGGATCACCTGGAAAACCAGGACAGCCGGGATATCCTGGTCAACCTGGAACACCCGGAACACCAGGAACACCTGCAATACCCGGAACACCGGCACAACCTGGATAGCCTGGGCAACCTGGATCACCTGGAAAACCAGGAGAGCCGGGATATCCTGGCCAACCAGGTACACCCGGAATACCAGGAACCCCTGCAATACCCGGAACACCGGCACAACCTGGATAGCCTGGGCAACCTGGATCACCTGGAAAACCAGGAGAGCCGGGATATCCTGGCCAACCAGGTACACCCGGAATACCAGGAACCCCTGCAATACCCGGAACACCGGCACAACCTGGATAGCCTGGGCAACCTGGATCACCTGGAAAACCAGGAGAGCCGGGATATCCTGGCCAACCAGGTACACCCGGAATACCAGGAACCCCTGCAATACCCGGAACACCGGCACAACCTGGATAGCCTGGGCAACCTGGATCACCTGGAAAACCAGGAGAGCCGGGATATCCTGGCCAACCAGGTACACCCGGAATACCAGGAACCCCTGCAATACCCGGAACACCGGCACAACCTGGATAGCCTGGGCAACCTGGATCACCTGGAAAACCAGGAGAGCCGGGATATCCTGGCCAACCAGGTACACCCGGAATACCAGGAACCCCTGCAATACCCGGAACACCGGCACAACCTGGATAGCCTGGGCAACCTGGATCACCTGGAAAACCAGGAGAGCCGGGATATCCTGGCCAACCAGGTACACCCGGAATACCAGGAACCCCTGCAATACCCGGAACACCGGCACAACCTGGATATCCGGGGCAACCTGGATATCCTGGGCAACCTGGATCACCTGGAAAACCAGGACAGCCGGGATATCCTAGCCAACCTGGAACAGCCGGAACACCAGGAACACCTGGAATACCTGGAACTCCGCCAAAACCTGGATATCCTGGGCAAC